TGAGGACACACTGTACTTATTTTGTCCAGGTCTTCTTGAAGGGCATGACAATCATCTAAGTTTCTTATCCTTCCTATTATTTTAGCATCATCAGCAAACATGTTCATAAAATTCTGTATTCCATCTGGTAGATCATTCATGTAGACAATGAACATCACTGGTGCAAGATCTGAACCCTGTGATACGCCACTAGTGACATTTCTCCAGTCCGATACATTGCCTCTGATTACTGCCCTCATGTTTCTATCAGTCAGAAAATTTTTCATCCATGTTAGAAGCTTATCCTGTCACCCCTCCAATATTTTCCAGTTTCCAGAACAACATTTTACGTGGAACTCTGTCGAAAGCCTTTTTTAGGTCCAGATAAATGCTGTCAACTCAACCATCTCTTTCCTGTAAAATCTCTGTGGCTCGATCATAGAAACTGAGTAGATCCAATACACTGCATCTTCCAGATCAAAAACCATACTGTCTGTCTATTATATCATTTCTCCCCAGGTGTTCTACCATTAATTTTTATTATTTTTTCCAATATTTTGACTATTTCACTTGTCAAAGATACAGGTCTATAATTGAGAGGGGTCTTCCCTGCTGCCACTTTTGTAGATTGGAACTATGTTAGCTTTTTTCCACACACATATGCTACGACTTCTATTCATGGGAATGCCTGAAAAATCAGTTGAAGTGGAATGCTGAGTTTGGGAGCACATTTTCTCAGAACCCATGGTGAAACTCCATCTGGGCCAACTGCTTTGTTCTTACTTAGCTCCTTGAGCATTTGTTTCACTTCATCTCTCTAGACACCTCTATGTGCTCTATGCTGTTCTCTGGAATTCTTATTGTGTCTGGTTCTCATGTCCAGAGAGGCGTGAACCATAGAAGATGAGGTGTAGAGTAAGGGTGGAGGCGGCACCACTCTGAGCCATCCCACACACGTAAAAGCAGAGAAAGAACAAAGTGTTCTCTCCATACGTAAAATCCAGAACTTCCCCAGTATCCAGGGGACTATAACTGGAGAAAAGATGAGCAAGAGTGGCATAGAACCCGCGATAAAGGACGCGGAACACCAACACATGTTTACACCACCATAAACCAAAACAAACACCCTCTGCGCATGCACCTGAGGACTGAGCTGCAACACCCAACCCTCGGGGAGGGTGCCTACAAGGTGTATTAAACGAATATGAGTAATGTCAAGACAGAATACGGAGATAAGATGTAATGATCATTTAAGGAGATATAATATCGAAAAACGATTAGTAGTACTGAAGAGGACCAATGAGTCCTTACCTCCAGTGCGAGAACGGACTGGAGGTAAGCCTTATCGGCAGATGACAGATGTTCTAATAATATTGGAAGAATCAAAGATCGTTCCGAACCTTTGAAACAGTTGAGAAGCAAGCACAAAAACACGGAGACTCACATGGGCCCAGTGGCATTCGCGACCAATGATCATGCAGGATCCAGGGATGACGAGAACCTGATTACGACATGAATACATGTCCTAGAAAAGAAGGGTGAGAAACTGGTAAAATCACCCACAGAAAGGATGGAACCGACGAACCCAAAGGGACATGGAACCAAACCCGGGGAGGGGCCGACACTGAAACTCACTTGTATGCAGAGGGGGGGGGGGGGAAGGAAAACACCACTCCCTGAAACAAAAAGCCCTGCTCTGAGGCTTGGAAAACCAGGGCTGGGTCTATCGCGGCCCAAGGCCCCAAGTCAGCCTCACCCCGACCCTGGGAACCTCCAAATCAGACCCCGGGGAAGAGTCATCCTCCAAAGCCCCAGCCATACAAGAAAAAAGGGGGGCAGCTGGAAAAGCAGGAAGAAGGGGTCCACTGGTCAGATCCCCGTCGTCACGGCTGGAGGAATAGACTCGAATGCTTCCGTCGCCACCCCGAAAGGGAAAACCCCTGAAACAGCCCGAGTCTAAGAATATTCTAAACCCCGCCCCGACCCTGAAGTCCTCAGACGCTTTGGAGCCGGGAGCAAGGGGACAGGGGGCGACCAGAATGAACCACAGCAGGAGGAAGAATGAAGGGGTGTGGACTGAACCAAGGGTGAAGCGACCAACACCCCAATTCCAGATCCCAATAAGAAAAGCGGGGCAGCCTCGGGACATCCAGGGTAGCAACCAACCTAGCACATTGCAGCAACCCATATCTAGCATATAATGCCTGAGCCACCTGCACCTGAATAATGCCATCAGTGGATTGGGTGAATTGAGTCACAAACAAGCAACAAAGCTCGCAGGACACTGAGTCAAAGGTGTCAAGCCTGGCCATGGGTCAGGCTTCGGGAGTAGACGAACTCCCAGAACCCCATCAAGCAGGTGTCACCGACCAAAAAAGCAGCATGCCGGAGGCAAAAACATTGAGCGTCACCCTGAGACAAGGGGCCGAGCAACCCTCAAACTTGCACAAAGCAAGAGGGGACCCAGGGGTCGCATCCATCGGACCCCTAGTGCCCCCGCAGGGTTTCCCAGGGCCCTTAGACTGGTATCGCTAAGGGTAGGCCCAGGCAGAGTATGGCTAACCGGCGCCCAAGTCTACCAAACAAACTTCTAAAACTATACCCCCGGGACGTGTCCACTCACGGTGGCCAATCAGGGGGTACCACCGAAGACAGGAGGTCAAGACTCCAATATAACAGGTGGAAAGGGAACAAAAGTAGACCCCCACCAGGCACAAACAAAAATGAAAAGAAAAACCCCGCAAGAGGACAACGAACCCAGAAGGAACAGAGCCAGCTGCTGTAATTGGTGAAAACTAGCTGCGCAGTATCCCTGCACCCCTACCTGTGCAAAAACTACCAAGTATCAAAAGGTAAACAAGGGAGAAGGAGGAACCCCCCCCCCCCTCCCCCAGTACTAAATGTACATTCCCCAACACTCCCAGGGCAGTCAATTGCCAAGCAGTAAAAGACCAACAGAGGCAGACCCCAAGGTAACTTGTGGAAGATAACTGCAAGCCCCAAAGGCGGTACTTACGCCTTTGCGCACCTTACGCCACACTCAGGGAAGGGAACCCTAAGCACATGCAGCCCGAGTACCTGTGAATATTACTCCCAGCTCACATGCCACTGTAAGAGCAGTACTGGACACAAGACCCAGCACAACACACAGAGAGCCTAGAGCTGGAGCCACACGATCGAGCCTCAACTCGATCCTCAATATAGGGGGCCTCGTAGCCTGGTGGATAGCGCGCAGGACTCGTAATTCTGTGGCGCGGGTTCGATTCCCGCACGAGGCAGAAACAAATGGGCAAAGTTTCTTTCACCCTAAATGCCCCTGTTACCTAGCAGTAAATAGGTACCTGGGAGTTAGTCAGCTGTCACGGGCTGCTTCTTGGGGGTGGAGGCCTGGTCGAGGACCGGGCCGCGGGGACACTAAAGCCCCGAAATCATCTCAAGATAACCTCAAGATAACCAACACATCAGCCGAGAACTGAGGGGTGGATCGCCGGCACAATGGGTCTGGGGCTCCCCCTTTCCCTACCCGGGGAGGGGGGGACCTGCGCAGACATGCGGTGTGGTACGTGTGACATCATGCTCATTTGCTCGTTTTAATTTTGGGAGCTCTGTCCACTTGTTAGTCTTCTGTAGTCATTTTAACCAGAATAGGGGGTTTGTTTTGAGGCACTTACCTTTCTGGGTGCCTGGCTCGGTTGATGGCAGACATAAAATGCTGCAAATCACATGTGCACTTCTATAGGCCATTGCTCCTCATGCCTCTGTGAGGGGGCCAGGTTCTGGCTCGTGGTCCCTGGTAGCCCTAGAACTCCATTCACACTGACTGATGCCAAAGTCTTATAATATACATATCGCCCTCTGGGGAGTCAACGGGGCTTCCCCCAGAAATTTCTTTCAAATATTGGATTTACATCAAATTATATATTTTTGGGTTATATATTTAGTTCAGCAACATTATTACAATAATAAGAGCTATAAAAAATACATTTTTTTAACTAATTTATTAATTTTATTATTTCGAATTCGTAGGTCACTGAACTGTGGTGACAAAATCAAACGAAACACGCATGGTGTTGTGTGCACGTGGATTAGACCCGTCCACTCGTGCTGGAGTTTTTTTGCCAATAACATGAATAATTTCTCAAATAGCAGATGTCTATCATATTACAGTATATTTTTAGTTTTATTTAGTTTAGTTTAACTAGGATAATAAAGAGCTATTAAAACAGCAGTTTTAGAAATGATTTATTAATCAGAAACTTTCAAAGTTATGGTCACTGAACTATGACGACACAGATGAAAGTGAGTGAAACCTCACTGTATAGTGAGGTTTACAGTACAGTATTCCCTTATCTGTCCACTCTCACTCATCTTGTTTCATCACAGAAAATGTATGTAAGAAGATTTCAACACATTAGCTAGCTATTCACACTTCAGGCTTTAAATTAGTCTACAAAGATACATGTGCCACAAATCGGTAAATGAAAATCATGGAAACACAGTTGTTGACTTGTGTGGACCATTCTAGCTAGTGTTTGGGTCATATGGTTCCCTTGTTGTGTGGTCCATTTGCATGATCCAACTTGTCATATGAAGGAATTATTCATTGTAACCTATAATAGAATGGGAAAATTTTTCACCAGTCATTGAACTCTGTCCCAACATTGTAAGCAAATCTGCACATCACCCTGCTTCAGGGATCCATTGTTCATCGAAACGGGTGACTAAATCCATCCTGAAAAGTGTGCAACCTAGCCAGAGATGCAGTGAATTAGGGTGCGTTGAATCAAGGTTGTACTGTAATAGTGTGAATACATTATTGGATATTCTCCATCAACAATATAATTTGCTCCATTTTTTAAATTAAGTTATTACAGTACCGTATTGTATAGCCTAAATATACATCACACACCCATGCCACTGCATCATAACTAATTTGGAAAAATATTCTAAAAAGGAATACAAGAATTTATATTAGGTGACAAAAACAAACACAGAATACTGTACAACCTAATACTACTTACCACAGCAATCCTCTGAGAAGCCATTATTGCTCGGATATGTTGTCCTCACAACTATTCCTAAGAAACAAAAGGTTTAACAATTTACTTTTTTGTATTAAAAGAACTACAAATATAACATGTTATTACCTGACAAAACTGTACAAGATGAAAACTATGATCAAAATTTCTAGCAAATATTACTCTGCACAATGGCAAGTAAATCACAATACATTCCAAGCATGTACAGGAGGTCCCCGTTTTGCAAACATTTGCATATACAGTACAGTGGTACCTCGGAACACGAGTGTCCCTATATGCGAGTTTTTCGGAATAAGAGCAGGATTTCCTCGGAAAATATGTCTCGGAAGGCGAGGGTTACCTCGGAACGCGAGTTTGTTGATACGCATTCAGGGCGACCTAGCGCGTGGTGGTTCGACGATCGTCGTCCCTCCGCCCCTCAGTTTACCATTGTCTCGCGCCCAGTGACTATCCCACATCAATTCTTCACCCGGATTTTCAGTGTTTTGTTGGTTTTTTGGTCATTTGACTATACAATTTGTTATTATATATCTCACCATGGGTCCCAAGAAAGCCAGTGATAAGGATCAAGTCCAGAAAGCCCATGCGAGGATGACAATAGAGAAGAAACAAGAGATCATTCGGAAGAATGAGAATGGTACACGTGTTGTTGAACTTTGTAGGCAGTACAACAAAGCCACATCAACAATATGCACTATACTTAAGAAGAAAAATGAGATTATGAGTGCTAAAGTGGCAAAAGGAGTAAGAACAATGACGAAACAAAGACCACAAATACTTGAAGTGGAAAAGTTGTTATTAATTTGGATACACGACAAGGAATTAAGGGGTGATAGTGTTTCGGAGGCCATCATTTGTGAGAAAGCCAGGGTATTGCACGAAGACCTTCTAAAGAAAACCTCTGCAACAAGTGATGCAGATACGAAAGAGTTTAAGGCAAGCAGGGGCTGGTTTGAAAAATTTAGAAGACGTGGTAGTATCCATAGTGTTACAAGGCATGGGGAGGCAGCCAGCTCAGTCAAACCAGCGGCTGGACGAATTTAAATTGAGGAATTGAATTGAATATTGAGGAATTTAAAGAGTTTGCAGAGGCTGAGGGATACCTACCGAAACAAGTGTTTAATTGTGACGAAACAGGACTGTTTTGGAAAACAATGCCTAAGAGGACATACATTACCAAGGAGGAAAATTCCTTGCCCGGACACAAGCCTATGAAAGATAGGTTTACGCTTGTGCTGTGTTCAAATGCAAGTGGCGATTTGAAAATTAAACCCTTGCTAGTGTATCATTCTGAAAATCCAAGGGTTTTCAAACAGTATAAAGTGCAGAAAACCCATTTGTGTGTGATGTGGAAGGCTAATAAAAAAGCATGGGTGACTAGGCTTATTTTTTCGGAGTGGGTGAATGAAGTGGTGTGCCCTGCCATAGAAAAATATCTGCAGGAGAAACATTTGCCACTCAAAGCCATGCTTCTCCCCGACAATGCTCCTGCTCATCCTCCAGGCTTGGAAGATGATTTGTTGCCCAGATACAATAAATTCCTCACAGTTGAATTCCTTCCTCCTAACACCACTCCTCTAATTCAGCCTATGGGCCAGAAAATCATAACGAATTTTAAGAAACTTTATGAAAGAGCACTTTTCCGGAAATGTTTTGAAGTGACTGAAGCCACAAACCTCACCCTCAAAGAGTTCTGGAAACACCATTTTAACATTTGTAGTGCTTTAAAACTCGTTGACAAAGCCTGGCAAGAAGTGACTCGAAGAACCCTGATCTCTGGCTGGAGAAAAAGTGGCCTGAATGTGTGAGAGAACTAGACTTTGAGGGGTTTGAGCCTGGAAATGATGCGCCTATTGTTGACGAAATTGTTACTCTGGGCCGGAAAATGGGCTTGGAATTGGATGATGATGATGTGGAGGAGTTGGTGGAAGAACACAACGAAGAACTGACCACCGAAGAACTCCAAGCCCTTCAACAGGAACAGCAAGACAACGCAGCTGATGATTCTACAGTGGAGGAGGATGAGGCAGTAGCGAATGTCCCTTCTGCAGAAATTAGGAAGGTGTGTCAGATGTGGGAAGAGATTCAAACAATTGTTGAAAACTCACCCAGAGAAAGCTGTAGTAGGCCGTTGCCTTAACCCTCAAACAACGCATATCATATATAAATGATATCAGTGACAAAACCGAAACCGCGCACATCATTTATATATGATTTCGTGTCTAGCGCTATAATTTAAATGCCCCGCCTGGGATAGGGGCAGCTATAGTACAGCCAAGACCAATAGTTGCCAGATGCCGCCTAGAAAAAAAATCCAGACCAACATTCTTGGGTGTTACAGCGTCAGTATTGAGCAAGCCACCAAGGCTGGCGCACGCAGCACGAGCTCACAGCACCGCTGTTCAGCTTGTGACCACAGCATCGCCTACAAATGCCATAATATATATGATACTGCTATTATTTAGCAGTGATAGTATTACTGAAGCCCCCTGACTGTGATAAAACTGACCAGGATTCTGATAATAGCAGGATTGTGGTGATATTTAGCGCTGTGCTGCATGGAGGGAGGAGTAAGGCTGTGGAGGGAGGGTTATGGCGTCGTCTTCTGACTGTGTGTGTGTGGTCACCTTATATTGACTGCACTCACCATACCAGCTTAGTGGTTCGCTATGGTGAACACAAATGTAAATACTTATATATAACGTGTGTATAGTGTGAGATAACAGCAAGAGGTGTAGGTTGGGAGCCGCATTTTAGTGAGGGAGGAGCGTCGTCTGCACGACTTGGCATGTTGCTTACTGATGGCCACTATGGTCTCTGGGCACCATACCAGCTTATTTGTACAGGTATGGTGAATAAAACAGGTAGATACTTATATATAATGTGTGTATATAGCATAATAACACCACAAACAATATTGTTGGAGGAGAAATATTAGTGCGTCTGGCCTTGAGGGCGGCCGCCGAATAGCTGACTGTGTGAGTAGCTACGTCTTTGTGCCTTTACTCACCATACAAGCTTAGATGTACAGTTATGGTGAACAAAACATGTAAATACGTATATATAATGTCTGTGTACTGTATAGTGAATAAATGCAAAAACAGTATTGTGGGAGGAGAATGAGGATGAGTGAGGTGGTGTTGAGGGAGGGAGTGGCATTGAGTGGCTCGCTGGTGTTTGGCGGTCACTCCTCGCTGCTTTTTGACTCACAAGACCAACTTAGTAGTTCGTTATGGTGAACAAAACATGCAGATACTTATATATAACCTGTGTATACAGTGTAACAACAGCAAAACTACTTGTTTATTGTTTTATGAACATAATAATTGAATCACTAATATGCACACCATAATTTTGAGTACAGCGATGGTTCACACATTTTATTATATAAATATACCACAATTCACTGTATGGAATAATATTACTGCAAAAAAACTAAAAAAAAATCAGATATTGAAATAATTAGGTAATAATATATTTGTGGCAACTGTCGTTTGACAGCTCGGGTGGAGTAGACCTCGTCTGGCAAAGGCTCTGCCAACGCCCCTTTTTTGCCACACTTCCCTACCCTATTGTGGCTAAAATATGCCACCTACGATTTTTTTGTTATTTTTTCGGTGATCAGGGAACAAAAACGAACACTTCTATAAGACGAAAGAATTTTTTTTTTTTTTTTTTTTTTTTTTTTTTTGCGCCTGTGGGTGTGAATTCCATTTGGGCCCCTAGCGGTTTGAGGGTTAATCTTTTCAATGACAATGTGATGCCTTACTACAGAGACAGCTTGCAAAGAAGGGAAAAGCAAGCTTCCATGGACAGATTTGTGGTGAGAAAATCGAGCAGTGAGCCTCAACCAGGACCTAGTGGCACTCAGATAAAACGTGCCAGGGAGAGCACACCAGAAAGGTCCTCACTGCCTGATGTGTTAATGGAAGGGGACTCCCCTTCCAAACAGTAACTCCTCTCCTCCTCCCCCCTCCTCACCATCTTCCATACGCCTACAGCATTCAACAACAAAGTAATAACTTGAACATAGTTTTGTAGGTTTATTTAGATGAAATAGGTATAAAAATTTAGTTTGATGTGGGGTTTTTGGGGTAGTCAGGAACGGATTAATTCATTTCCCATTATTTCTTATGGGGAAATTAGCTTCGGAATACGAGCCGTCTCCAGGAACGGATTAAACTCTTAAACCGAGGTACCCCTGTACCTGTAAATCAAAATGTACTTGTGACCCACTGGTGTCATACTGTAAATCACACTGCTCCATGTCAGCAGTAATGGTATCACACTTAAAGAGCTAACCTTCTTTACACTCAAAGTTCTAATAAAATATGATAACTTTACATGCCAGTGTTGGCACAATTAGTGTCACTGGCAGACTAGTTGTGTTGTTTTTCTTAGCAATTACCATCCACAGCTGATAGCTATACAATTCTTATGTTTATTCCTTCACCTATTCCTCTGCCATTGCTATTGTAGAGCAGGCATAGGCAGGCAGCCATTCTCAGTTAGTAAGACAATCAATGTCAGGCAGTCGGTCTGTCATCATTCCACATGTAAAGACTGTCCAAGAAGTGGTCGAGGGGTATAGGGATTATAAGTTTCAGGGGAGGGGACAGAAGGGCTTGGGGTGGCGAAGGGATGGTTTGGGTGGGGATGGAAGGGTGTTGGGGTGGGGAATGGGCAAGTATCAAGAGTGTGGGGAGGAGGGGCTTTGAGGGAAGAGACTGGGTGTGTGTGTGAGGACAGTAGGAAGGGAAGAGCACAGTAGTAAATTGGAAGAGTGAGACAGTTAGCAACCTGTTTTTCTCAACAGCATGCGCAGCTAGTCTGTCGGGGAGATTGTTGGGAGTTTGGGTGTCAGGAGCATGTGGGTGGGTGGGTGAGGGTGTCGGAATCAGGTGGGTGAGTGTCAGAAGTGGGTGGGTGAGTGTCAGGAGCAGATGTGCATTTGAGTCAGGAGTGGGTGGGTAGTTTTGTATCAGGAGTGGGTGGGCAGTTGTGTGTCAGGAGTGGGTGGGCAGTTGTGTGTCAGGAGT